CAGTGATCTTCCAGCTCTGTGTCTTTGTTCAATGTCAAAGCAAAAACTTGGCTCTTCCCTATTAAACTATTAAACCGTTATTATTGGAGGATGCAGTTTTGAGATAACTCTTAACTATAGGGCTGATTTTTACTACTGTTAGCAAGGGCTGTGGGCTCAGACAGACCCAGTTTCAAAACTTGGCTGTATTACATATTATATATATTATGTTGGATAAAATACATCATTTTTCTATTTCATGAAAATGAGGATAAGAATCCCTACCTCACAAACTTGTTATAAGGATCAAATGGTATGATGTGTCATGCACCCAGATCATTCTAGTAACTTAATACCAATCCTTATTATGGAACTCTACCTTGCTGATGCTCAGTTCTCCCATCTGTATTTTTTTCCCTAGTAAAAATCTATTCTTGCTTTTTGTTTAAAAAATCCCATTTTCCTTCTGTTTTGCAATCATTTCTCCCCTAACGTTGAACCAGGCAGTTTGCCTGGGACTGAATGCCATCACCTGTTTTAGTTCCCTGACCCGCACAAGTAATGCACTGCCTTGTATAGCTTTAACCATTCAGATCTGATGCCTAGAAATGCGAGGAAAGAGGAAGGCTGGTTTGATGAGGCTTCTAAACTGTTAGAATGTAAAGTAAAACTGATAATGTCCATCACTACCACAAGTGGGAAAACCAACCTGAGAATGAAGCCAACATGGGGGGGGGGGCGTAAAACTAGTAGATGTAGGTCAGTCACTATTAGGAATATTGTTACTGTTAGTTGGTGGGCACTTAATACAATTCTTAGGTGTAAGGAATGTAACAAGTTCATCAGAAACATCTCATCTAATGATGTAGGTATTAATTATTTCCACTTCACAGAGGAAAAACCTGAGACACACAGGAGTAACTTCCCTGGGATCCCTTACTGAGTAAATGGCAAAGCTAGAATTCATACCTCAGTATCTCTGAGCCCCTTAATCTCCAGGCTGTACTGCCTCCCAGTGTAATTGATTTCTGACATAGTAAAGAACAAGACTGCTATCACAGTTAGTTAAATATAAAGGACACCTTCTCTTGTAAGGGCCATATTGTACTAAGATATGTTTTATAAGCTGCTATATATATATATATAGCATATATATATATAGCATATATATATATCTGTTTTAAAAACAATATGAACTCCATGGAGGACAGTTCATATTTATGTTAGTTATGGTAGTACTAACAGGACTGCTGTGATAACTTAAGAATAAGGTCTTACGTTCCATAATTATTTTCTAATTGCCATCAACTACTTTCAGAGGCGGCATCGCTACTGCCAACCAGAATAGATATTTCTCAAGTGTACTAGGTGATGAGGAAAAGATATGAATTCATCTTCATTTTTCTCTATGGGAAATGCTATGTTATTACCCAGAGTCCCTTACACTAGATGATTCATCACCAGAAAAGTTGCTCTCAGGTCTTGCCACATCCCTGCAGTCAGGCTCCAAGCAAAAATGATTAAAGGGGGCCTCTTGTAATTAAGCTTGCTGAGCAATCCTAGATAGCCCCCTAGTTCCCATGTCATTGGAAGCAATTGGTTTCCAGGAGTGAGTCTAATAAATATTGCTTTGACTGACACCTTTGCTGCCAGCCTCAGGAAGTTGCTCAGTCAGAAATACAGACCATGTGGCCAGAGATCAAGAGATTTTCATCAACAGTCATGTGCACTGTGCAATTCACAACATCTCATGCCTTCTCTGGAAAAACCAAGGAGCTTAAAGGACCCCGGGGAGCCATCTGCCAAGCCCAGTTGGAGAGATACTCATGCAGGCGGCATGGCCAAAAGAGCTTTGGGTTTTCTCTTCTCATCTGCCTGAATGGGCTGAATTTCCAGGGCTCATAGCTTCTGCCCAGAAAAAAATGCCAAGAGGTAGAGGTAATGGAATCCACTGATTTAGAAGAGTATGGGCTTTGGACCCAGACTATCTGCATTTGAATCCCAGCTCTGCTACTTTCTGGCTGTGTGACCTTGGCTAAATTAGTTAACCTCTCCATGCCACAAGTTCCCTATCTGCTCACGATGATAATGCAAGCCTTACTCCATTACTTCATTAAACTTTTATAAGAATTAAATAGCTTAAGTCTGAATCATGCTTATCACTATGTGGGGCTTGAATGGACAAGATGCATCTCTCTGTTCCCAAAGCTAGAAGGAGGGGTATTATTTATTTTACTTAACAGATTAATCAGGATTCATCCACAATCATTTTTATAAAGATAATTATATTATGACATATGGTTAAAAGGGCTTTGCTAATCAGGCTTTCAGAAAAAAGACCCTTATTCAAAGAATAGATAAAAAATGGACCACAGTAGCACCAGTTAAAGAAATGATTGGTCCATTCGCCACAAAATGCTGTTTGTGAATAAGACCTTCCATGAGCTAGAAAATATTGTGTACCATGTACCACTTACACAGGAAATAGTCCCATCTTAGTTCTTTTTCCTTGTCCATCTTTTTAGTCAGTGCTTTCCTTCGTTTCTATTGATAGGAACATATGTCCTTCTAGTCCTTTGTGAATTGCAACTTTCTCCTTTCTTTTGCTGGGTGCACAGGCAGCTATTTGAAGTCACTAGGAAGCAGGATTTGAGGAAAGATCTGCCCCTTAAACTTCCTCATTGGCAAACTATGCACATGGAACACCAAGTCAGAGAGAGAATGAAAACAAAAACAGAAACAAAAAAACATGGACCCTCTTTCCAAAAAATGACTTCATAATTTACAAGGCAAAACAGATGGAGATGCAAGGTTGATGCCTTTCATACTTGTGAGTAAGACAGAATGAATAAGACAACAAGAAACACCCGCCAGAGAGGGGAGACTAAGTCACAGCTAGAAGGGAATTCTTGGAGAAAAGAGGGGCCAGCAAGGACCCTGAAAGCAATGCTCAAACCACCTCTGAGCAAGAGCAGCAGGGGAAAGAGGTGAACAGCTTTTGCAAAACAAAAACCTTCTTTAGTTACCAATGTCTCTCTTTAAAAACATTGTTTATTTATTTTTGAGAGAGAGAGAGACAGAGTGTGAGCAGGGGAGGAGCAGAAAGAGAGGGAGACACAGAATCTGAAGCAGGCTCCAGGCTCTGAGCTGTCAGCACAGAGCCTGACTTGGGGCTCGAACCCACAAACCATGAGATCATAACCAGAGCTGACGCTGGACACTTAACCAGCTGAGGCACCCAGGATCTACTTTAGTTATCAATGTCTCTTTACAAGGCGGGGAAAAAAAGGTATTGTCCCATACACAGTTTTCTATGTGTTCTCTTTGAGCCAGTTTGTTTGCAAATGATTTGCCCTTCACTTTCTCAGGCAGTTTCACAAGTGTGTTAAAAGAGACTCCTCTAATGCATTTCCTTGGGCTTTCAACTCCCACAGGGGTGTTTAAGGCAGGGTATGAAAATGAGAAAGATGAAAATGCATTGCTCTTAGAAGTGAGAGAACTGGGGAGGGTTCGGGGAGCCATCAGGTGCCTGAAAGCCCAAAGGCTGATGAGAGACAGTGTAATTTCAAGAGGAGTAAAGGGGAGACACACAACAAGCAGGGAGCTTGGGGGCTCCTTGAAGGTCATGGTTCCAATGATTCTGAATGATGTGGACATTAAGTATTGAAACCCTTGTCTGAGCCCATTCTTAGAGTACTGTTGATACCAGCAAACGTCTAAGAGCAATCTAAATGTCCTTTCTATGGGCAGATTAGGTTAAGTAAGGTAGTCACATCTTCGGGCAGGGGTTAAATGGCAAATTCAAAAGTGGCTGATAAATAAAGTCAACATCGTACTAGACTACTTCTTACTTTGTTCTTGCTTTGCCAGGATCTAGGCCCTTGGAAACAAAGAAGGAAAGGGACTTCTTTTTTCCCTTTTGTTTTTCTTTTTACATTTTTTTTATTTTACAGAAAGAGAGAGAGAGAGCAAGAGCATGAGAGGGGGGAGAGAGAGAGAAAGAATGAATCCTAAGCAGGCTCCACACTCAACATGGAGCCTGTTGTGAGGCTTGATCCAAGGATCCTGGGATTGTGGACGGAGCCAAATTCAAGAGTTGGATACTCAACTGACTAAGCCACCCAGGAACCACTCCCTTCTTTTCAGCTGTGGCCACCGATTCCCAGGGAGGAAAGCCACCTCCAGTTTCATCTGAAGGATGGGCATAGGTGGTAGAAACTAGAAAGAATATTACTTTCCTTGCTTCCTTCTTTCTTTTGCTGCTCCTCTCTTCCCCTGTCCTGTGTGCAGACAAAGTGAGAAGGCAGCGCTCTGCAATATCCCGCACTATCCTCTGAAACATCTTGTAATATCCTCTGACATATCCCGGTCTTCACCAGGAGCTCAATCTGCCAGCATCTTGACCTTGGACCTCCTGGCCTCAAGAGCCATGAGAAAGAAATGTGTTGTTTAAGCTACCAAGTCTATGGTATTGTGTTATAGCAGCCCAAGCGAAGAATATACATATGTTTGGTAACTCACAGAACAGTCATGGAAGGAGAAATAAGAGCCTAAGAATGCTGGTTGTGTCGCACATGATGAGACCTAGGAGACGTGAAATCAGGAACAGGAGGAAGAGCTACTTTTAGACTAATAAGATCTACTTATCTACCCTGAACACCTTTATGTGAATTTGTAATGTATGTGTTTATAGTGCTTTTAGTAATAAAGATCAGAATTAAAATGTTTTTTTAAGTGTCTATTTCACAAGTCCCATCAAACCAGAATAAAACAACAGTTACAAAGCCATTGCTGTTCACTAATCTCACTGATCTATTTGGAGCTTATTGAGTAATTTGTGACACAGCTTTAACATTCCCTTAAGATGCTGACTAGTCCAACATCACATTCCGCCATGTAGGAGGATGTGGGCATGTCTAAAAAGGACAGACCTCACATGAGAGCTCTCAGTGACAAAAAAACCTTCACAGCTCATTTACTAGGTGACCTCTTAATGTGTTACCAAAAATAATGAGACTTACCAGTAGAACCTGTTTGGCACAACACCTTCCTGGATAAGCTGCCACCTTCTCCCAAATTCGGCAGAGCTGTATAACTGTTGAGAAGAGAAATTGTTCAGCACTATGACCCGGTGGTACAGAGGATATACAAATATTAGTTCATTGGACCAATAATAACAACATTAACAACACTAGTGCGTACCATTTGTTGAGCGCCTGCCGTATGCCAGGTAAATGATCCACATATCATCTCTACTCCTCGTATACACTCTGCAGGTCAGATATTGATACCCTCACTTTACAAAGAAGCTGAAGTTCAGGAAGATAAAGTGATTTGTTGGAAACTGCATACCCTCTAAACATTCGAATGAGCTGGGATTCATACTCAGTTCTACCTGGTGACAGAGTCAGCGGTACCACGTGACCTAGCAGCATCCTGAGCAGATCATTGTGTGGAATACAAAGAAGTGCAAAAGCGAGACCTGGCTCTTGAAGAGCAGACAGGAGAACCTAAACCTGACTAAAGTCATGAGAAATGCATGAGGCCACCAGGGGCAGAGGAATGCCAAGGAGGGAGACTTGGGAACCAGTCAGGGATGCTTCCCAGACATGAGTGGATTCAGCTGAGGTCCGAATGAATGGCAGCACTCACACTGACAAAAACAGGACAGGCGTTACAAAAGGAGCAATGTGGGTCAACGTGGTGAGATGTGCAGGGACAGTATACAAATAAGGCCTGCTTATCTAAATAAATCTAGATGTGAATGTTGAGGGCAACTTGGGAAAGGCTTTGAATGTGCAGTTAGGGAGCCTGGAACCGACCGTGCAGCCCAGAGGAGCCAGTGTTGTTGGTCTTTTCCACAAAAGCCAGAGAAGCTCCAGGCTATTTCGACAACCCACATGGACTACACTTTCACTATGATCCAAGGGCTCCCCATGCATTATTTCATTTCATCCACACATCATCCCTGTGATATATGAAGTTAACTTACAGATGGCTCTACAGCTGGTAAGAGGTCAAGTCTACATGCTACATGGCTTCAGTACTCCCCTGGGGTGACTGCAGAAACACTGCTCATGAGACATGATCTAATGTTCCACATACTCCATCCCCTCCAAATGTCATTCCTCTCTTCCATCTTGCTCTTGACTATGGCTCCCTCCACACCTCTGTTCCTCTCTGATAATCTTTACAGCTCTACAGAAGTGTCCTCTCATGGCAGCCCAGAGATTCCTGTTGCTCTTGGTATTTTGGTTCCCATGGACATTTGGCTACTGATTTGATAAATATCATTTGGAACATCTCCCTTCTACTATGTGACTGGTCTGTAACCCACTCACATCTCAATCTGCCACCATTGCATTCGCTCAATCCCACAGTGAGTGGATAATGAGTCATCTATACTGAACACGATGATTGCCCAGCCTAGTCTTCTCTCCAGCTTCAGCACTCAGTGAAGGGTCAAATGACTCACCAAGTGATTCACCAAGACTGCAGAGGAACTGGGCAAGTCCAAGGAACAGGTCAGCTCAAGTGAGTATTTACAGACCTCTGGAAGAGCTTCCCATGACAATATGTCCAGTAGATCAAAACAGACTCAAAGCCAAAAAGAAAAGCCTAAAATATGTGATTGCTAAGCAAGCAGCTCACTTGGCTCCAATGACATAGTATTTGGGTATCTGGTCAAGGAGAATTTGTGGCTTTTTCTTTCAAGTCTTACTATTTTTCTCTGCCCCATCATGGCTGGGGAAAGGTTTCCTGCATACGTTTTATGCTTGGTTCCCTTTAAGAGTGCCAGGAAGAGATGGGGAGGCATTCCCCTCACAGAGATACCAAAGAATGGGACAGCTCACTCCCTCTCCATTCAGAGCCCAAGCGCCAGGGTCCACATGTCCTGCTGCGTGTTCACCAGCATGTTGCAAACACAAGGCACCTGAATGTGCAGACTTGGAGAAGAACAGCAAGTACCCCATCTGGAAGGGTCTGCTTCTCCCTCTCCCCTTGCTCTATCTTTTGAAAGCCCAGAGCTACACTTTTTTCCATGAATTTAAAGAGAACAGAACTCACACCTTTGTATGTGCCTATGTCTATATATAAATGTATGTTAATATCTATACTTATATATAAGGATTTATGCAAATGTAACAGAAGCAGGATGGTTTGAAATACTAACAATTCTGGGTGTGAAGCTGGACTCATGGATATCCTGAAAATCAAATATTAACTCTTCGGGCTCCTATGGGGCCACCCCTGCCCCCCCACAGAATGTGTCTTTGTGAGGAATCACTGGGTGCCAGCATCTGTGTGTCTTTTTCTCTTTATGTCTTTTATAATTGGTCCCTCTAGGCTTGGATTCAGAATCTGTGGAGCAGTCAGGTATATCCCACGATATTTGTTTTTATCCTCTTCAAGAGGCTGCTTTGTTATTTGTCAACACCCAGAGGCCCCTCAAGTAGTAGGTATACCAGTTAATCCAATAAACCAAGCCTCTTATTCAGCTCGGTGACATTATTTCCAGTCTTCCCTCCTGAAAGGTACCCTTTGGTATTGATGGACTCACCTTCTCACTCTCTCATTCACATCCAAACACATTCCCTCTGCTAGGCCTTGATTGATGCTACACACTCTGGCTGCAATGGCTTCAGGACTTGCCTACCTCAATGCCAGTCTTTTTTTAAGGCCCAGATCAAAATATACCTTTTCTATGAACCTTCTCCTACACACTAACATTCCCAGTCATCTCATTTCCAAAGATCTACAGTTCAACAGACGGTATCAAACTACAGGCCACCTATTTATGTTAACTTGCTTTGTAAACCTTCCAAGAGAACCTTCTAGGAACACAAGGCAGGAATTCTTCCCTATCTTACATCACTCTAAAATATCTGAGACCATTCACTGCCCCTTTAATTTGACTACAAAGCTCATAGGTATTAGGAATCCTTTCTTTCTAGAAAGGGTCTAGCACATAGTGATGAGTGAGGAGGAAATGTATGGATTTTATACCATCCAAATTCCCTAGTGATGACTCTACCCAGTAAAGTACCACCCAGGTTTCCCAATGGGCAAATTAAGGGAACTGATCAGAGGAATTTGTTTGATTTCCATGGACCCATAGTAGAGGCTTGGAGCTGAAAAATAAACAAATGAACAAACCAAAACTATAAATACCAGTACATTCGAAACTTCCAAGGATTTGGAAGCAGGGTCTTGCCTATTTCCCCTTAGCCAAAGCTGCTCTGTGTACTCTACCTACTACTTAGAGAATTTTCCCCCCACTGTGCAGGCTGGGGTCATAGCAAGAAAAGTTTAACTCGTAGCCTCTCACATTAATGTGTTAATGAAACCTACAGAGTCTTACAGCAAAATTCTCCTCCATAAAGCTGAGAAAGGGATCAAGGCCTTTTACCCAATGACACCGTCTCAGCCACCAGTGGAAGGCTTTTTGTGTAGAATGAGTCAACATGCTTTAATAAAATTCATAGTGTTGACAGTACCTAAATAAGATTTATTTCCCTCTCTGTCTCTGGCTCTAAGGTTTCTTTTGACTGTCAGAACACAACACTGAGAACTATCATTACTATCTGTCACATCAGAGAAAACAGAACAGTTTTCTCCAGTAATGCTGAGCAGAGAGAAGGAGAAAGAGACAGAGAGACAGAGAGAGAGAACAGAGGGAAGAAGACACAATATTTGTTTTAGGAGGGCAATGTTCATCTACTAACCTCTGTTGTGAACCCCAAAACACCACTCTTGACGGGGTTTTGGTTTTGGTTTTACTGTGCTAACACTGGTACGAGCTATTGGGGAAAACTTTTGAAGGAGCAGAAATCTTAGGGCACAGGGAAAGGATTCTGGTTGACTAAGAATGCAAGGCAGAAAGCCCTTCCTGTCTCAAATCATCCTAATCTATCGGAGACCTCTTTCCTGCCTCAGTAAATATAACTTCATGACCACAAACCCAATGCTCACCCGACGCTCCAGATCTACCATCAGCCTCAGGGCCGGACCCTCCACGTTGCCATTATGCTGGTCTGGGCCCATCAATACTTCTCCCTCCTGCCAGGCTCCTTTCCTGAATGGTCTCTCTCCCTCTCTCTCCCTCCCCACTCCTCTCCCACCCAACCTTTCCTTTTTCTTTCTTATTTTTTCTTCTTTTTTAGACTCTCACACTGGTTTGTTTTCTTGCATCTGCCTTCATCTCTTGTAAGAAGAGTACAGATAAAAAGATAGTTAATCACAAAGAACACAATGGCAAGGGTTAGTTTTGTTGTAATCTTTTAACCAGTTCAGCCATCTCTGGCACCATCCTCAGGAGGCTGTAGAGCTGCAAGCTGTGGATCAGGGGTGAATAAGGAGGGGTGCTACAGGGAGGCAGAGAGTGTGCAGGTGAGAAACAGTGAGAGTCACTGGCATTGCTCAGCATTCCTGATCTTCAGCAGACTAAGATGGGGTGAGAGAAGATGCTATGAGCACAGCTATTGCCAGCTTCCATTTTCCATCTTATTACCATTTACATGGTTGAAGCCCTGGCTGAGAAGCAACCTTCTTTGAAGAGAAATCCCACTTCCATGCACTGATGCAAAACCTTGCGATCATCACTGTCCCTGGAAAGTGTTCTCAGTATTTCTAAATCAGATCAATGCAGCCACTCTTTCAAAGTGAGACAGGTACACGTTAGGGATTTTCTTCTGCGCTTCGGAAATTGGTGCAAGGACACACTTTGGTAAAAGGGAAGAGTGATAGCATCTTTGAAATCTGTGGTTGGTGGGATTGAATGCTTTCTCCACAAAGCTCCTCATGGAGACTTTCCCTGTGAGGAGGCAGGTCCCTGGGTCTCCTCCCAACAGACTCCTTGAGAGGTTTCCATGTAGGCAGAACACTTCCTGCTGTGGGCTCTTTTCAAGGATGACTGCTTGCTCCTTTTTTACTTCTCTGCCCTTAACATTCTAGAGGCAGGAGGCCTGCAAATTGCACTTCTTGAGAAGGCTGACAGAAAACCCTGTCAGTTTTATTTTATTTGCCTCATCCTAATACTGCCCTGGGGATGGCCTGGGTACAAAGCACTCATCTACCTCATGATTCTCCAGTTCT